GTTGTTTCCAGCCAATAGGAGCTGAGGTTTAGGCTGGGGGCAGGGAGATCACAGGAAGCCTCCTCCTCCTCCCTGCAGAGCAGAGAGCTGCACAGACTGCGCTTTAAACTGTGGCAGCTGCATGCCTGAGGGTCCTGGCAGGGTGGTCCACAGGCCAGATCTGGTGGCTTGGTGTGGTTTAAAGCATAATCCCTGAACCCTATTCCCCTGCACCAGGTCACCACCTAAATCCTCTGCAGTCTGCACCCCTTTGTCCCGGGTCACAATTCCCTCCCAGTCTTTGCATCTCTTCCTACAGCCCCCCCCCCCCCAAGCCAGAATCCTCTTCTGCACCCATACTCCCACCCTCATCCTACATCCCAGGTCACAACCCCTCCCCCCTTCACCTAAACTCCCTCTTAGACCTCACATCATCTCCTGTATCCCACTATCTTACCCCGGACGCCCTTCTGCACCCAACTTCTACCCTAAACCCTGCAATCTCCTCCATAGAAAAATGCAACCCTTGACCATGTCCAAAAGCTTGGAGTGGCCACCCACCAAAAATAATTGCCCACCTCTGCCATAGATGGTCTTGTCCTCTATGAACTTAGGCGTCTCTGTCTTGTTGATGTTGAAGATATCAGGTCCCTACATGCCTCCCTGTTTTGAAAATGGGACAAAGGTTCCTTAGACTTTGAGGTACTTCTGAAGATAGTCCCTAGTGATTCTCACAATTCATCCAAGGTCGTGCAAGACATCAGCAGCTGAGCCAGCTACAGACCCAGAACTCCTGATCCCAGCCTCTCCCCCTTACAGTCTAATATGCAGTGACTTGATTTAACTAACTCCTCCAGATTGTCTTTCATCATGTCCATTCAGCTGAATGTGGTAGCTTAAGGAAATGCTGAAATGTACTTTCTATTCCCTCCTTCCATGTTCCCATCCCAACTAGGGATGTTAAAGTGAATGTAATTAAATAAGCATGGAACTGCTGAAAATTTCAGAGTTACATGAGGGTCAGCAGTTGGCTCCTCAGAAGCCAGTGCATGCTGGCCAGCCCAGCTCCCCAGGCATGCCAGCTTACCACCTGCTGTCCCACACTACTGTCTCTGTATCAAGAGTGGCAAGGCAGCAGTTGGTTCCGTGGGAGCTAGTGCACATAGGGAGCCAGCTTTTAAGCCAGCTTCCCATGCGTACCAGGAGCCTGTGTGTAACTGTGAATGTTAACCAGTGAGTCCCAGTTCATCAGTTAACTGTGTACGCTATTACACTTTGACAGCCCTAATCCCAACACTTCCAAATGAAAAGAAAGTTTGGATATTTATTTTATTGACCACATAGTCCTAGGACTTCCTAACCCAACCCCAATAGAGAGAAGACAGCTAATAGAAGCCTCATAAAAACATCCCATCTGGTTCTCCAGTACTAATGCAAGGTTAGGTGCTGAGTCGCAAGCGGCTGTGTATGAAAGAGGAATCAAGAGCCAGATGTGTCTGCTTTCTGCATTTTATTAAGATATATATATATATATTTGTTTTCTTAAATTATTTTCTATAAATTGAACAGGAAGGGATTATTGTGGAGAGAAAAAAAATACAAAAATAAAAGCGTATTGTGAAGTACCAGATCACCACATATACAACAGCAAAGTACTTTACAAGCACTTAGAGCCCTAGAGTTATAAAAATAGAAATACAACACATCCATGAGCATGAGCCACTTCTCCAAACATCCCATATTTTTCACTTCCATCTGCAGTTTAGGATTCCCATGAGAGAATGCATTAGCTGGTTTGGACAACAGACATTCGCGGTGCTGGAGAGGAAAGGGCATCCTAACGCTTTTAACGTAAAATGGTTCATCTGTTAGCAAGAGTGGGCTTTTTAGACTTGATCAACATTGGCCCTAATGTTGCTACCAGTGACACCAATAGGGGTCTAACTCTTATTGAGTTCATTGGGAGCAAAGCTAGGTTGACACAGAGAGCATTTGAAAATCCCATCAACAGTTGCCTGTGGCTGATCCAACACCTACTGAAAACAACAAGAGTTTTTCAATGGTCTTCAATGGCCCTGAAAGCCACATAGTGTATCTGGCTCTGAAAGATCGGTGAGTTGAGCAATTCTGGCAAGGTCAAGTGAGTTGAGCAACTCTGTGATTTACTGTTTTCAATCAGACTGGATGGATGTAAATGAGGCAGGATTTTTTTTGTGTTTTTTCACCCCCAAGGAAAGAAAATATGTCTCTCTGTGACAACAGGTAAAATGTCCAGAAAAAATTTAAAATAGCAGAATATCCTAGTATATGATGTTCTCACACAGACGACGTAACATTTATATCCGATTCACCCATCCTTTAGTCTTCCATTTGCTTTACACAGATTTTTGCAGACTCTCCCTCGGGCCCCCCCTCGGGCTTCCTTTTTTAAAATTTTTTTTTTTTTTTCTTTAGGGCAAGAGCCAACTTCTGTGATGAGCTGATGAAAGAGAGGGAAAATGCTTCTAGAAAAACGACTGCATTTAAAAAAAAACATTTTGCAGAATATGCTTTGGAAAACATTGAAATCTTGAATTGAAAGATGCAGACATTTCATTATTTTGTCTGTGGCAGGTTTTCCTTTTTGCCACTGAATGCAATAAAATGAGTGATATTCAGAGTCGGTCTGCATCTCTTTCTCTGTCCTGCTCTTTTCCCAAATGTTACATAGTGGCAAAAGGATTTATGAAAATCAAAAACAACAAACCAACTCAAGGCATCATGCATCCTATTGCATTCTGTGACAAAATGGAAGAGACGAAAACAAGCCCCTCAAAATATAAAAATATTGAAATTCCAAATTTCTGGTTGTAATGGCTGAACAGAACATTTTGAAAAACTGTCAGGTTTGTACAGAAGTCTCTGGTTTTCAAAAAAACAATTCTGCATTGGGGGAAATAAAGTTTTAAAAGAAAAATTTTGTTTTTGACCAACTCTACTCATTGCATGATTGAAAACAAACAGGTCAAAAGTTTGGGTGACATTGGTAAGTAATTGATCAAGGAAATACACCTTTTAAAACCTACATTTACTCATTCCAGATTAACAGCCTGTAACTCTGGAAAAATAAATGTATAAAGATCTGTTGTTTAAAACTATTTATATCCCTCCTTAAAAAAGAGAAATCTGTAAAATAAGACAAACAGCCTCTTTAAATGCATGAAACAGCTTACAAATAAGTCATTTATTTGCTGCTGGCCTTTCTTGACTAACATAGCAAACCTAGAATCCAATTGATGGTGCTCAAAATAAGATGTAACCATTATTGCTTTTCAAACCAGGAAAGGAGCTTTGTTTGCAGCACTATTAGCAACATGTAAAGAGGCCTCAAGGACTGGCTAGTGAAGTAGGACAAAAGCACTGTGAAGGAAGGCCACATACGTCTGCTTCTATCACAAGCACATTGGAGACTCACACAAGACTTGGCAGTATCAAACCAAAAACCCGGCAAAGTGAGTGGGTCTCCTAGTATCTGGGATGTATTTATGCAGAAAAGCATAAAGGGACAGATTTAAAACAGAAAACTGACCCATCTTGTTGCATCTACATTACTGGGGGACTAACATGGGTACAAGACCACGCTGTGTAAGAGGCGACTTCAGGGACGTCTAGGCTGTAATTGATTAAGTTGCTTTGAAAGAGAATTAAACTAGCAAACAATAAACGTGGCTACAAAGGGGTTCGAGCAGACTCCCACTGAGATCAGCTGGAGACGTTGGGCTGATTTCACTGGCGGAGTCAGAAGGCCTTTAGACAAGTTTAAAAAGAAGCTTGGTGCTGTAAGGGCCTGGTCCTTACAGAGCCATGTCCCTGCCAGACCTATTGTGTATAATCCCTGTAGCAGAGTTAACAAGAACCCATGGGTCCTAACTGCAGAAGCATTTCCTTTTGCCAATGCATTGCACACCTTATTCCTCTGAACCTTTACCCCATTGCATGTCAGCTTAGTATAAATCTCCAGCAACCAACCAGCTACCTGCATAACTGTACACTTAATCTAGACAATGAGTGGGAACCTATTATTGATCTGCATGGACATAAGTGTCCAGTCCAACACCAGCTTCAGAAAAAGAGCATCCTTCAGAAGTTGTTACAAGATATTTAAAACACCCTACAACTACCAGGCATTTGATGTAGTCTAGTTCAAAGGTCCTGGTTGGCACCCAGTCATGTTACGCTGTGGGACTATTATCCAGGAGATCTCTGCTCTGGAAGGTCAGATGCTGCAGGTTTTCCCGTTCAGTCCTGCTGGCACCTAGTTATGCTGGTTTCATTGCTCCCAAGGATGTGCAATAAACTCCTTGGCTTTTTCAGTTGCCTTACAAGCCAAATACCTTGCAGTTCACCCGAGGACCCATCAATGCAAAATGCTCTGCAGCCACTGTAATGATTTGTGTGGCTGCTGCTTTCCTGACAAAGTTTCACTATTAAGAAGCTGCCTTCGGGTCTATTGTTCCCTTTTGCTCCCAGGTCACTGGAAACGGTGCATTTGGTTGTGTCTCTCAAGTACATTTTCTAATCTGCAAGTGCACTGAAGTGCTGGCATGGCAAACAAAGCCCAGAACTGGGGGTGGATTAGATGGGATAACAGGGCACACACTTACCTATCCCATAAGACAGTAATGTGTGTATTCCCCTCTGTAGCTAGCCAGCTCCTGGGGACACAGGGACAGTCCACAATAGAAGGTGGGAAAGGTGCCTTGTACCTTTCTTTCCACCTCGGGAAGCCTCTCAAGAGCCAGTCACAGGCTGCTGAGGAAGGTCTGACAAAACAGACAGTGTCAGGAATATGGGGCCAAAGAACGGACAGTGAGGCAGGTCTTTGGATGTTGTTTGCCAACCAGCTCTTTTGCAGCAGCTGGCATTCATAAGGCAAAGGCAGTGCACAGCTCTCGGTATCATTGCACTTTATAGACACATACGTTCCTAATTCCCCTGGGTGTTAGGTACCTAAATGCCTTTGCAGATATAGGCCTTAAATCTCCTTTGAAAATGGATCTTAGTCTCCTAAATTACTTAGGTGCCATTCAGAAGTTTTCCAGAGGTGTCCAAATCCCATACAAATCCAATGAAAGTTAGGCACCTAATTCCTTTAGTCTCCATTGATAGTCCAAGCCCTGTTGGCCAGTATTCACAAAGCAGTTACAGCTTTGGGATTGCTTTCTTGCCCCTCTGCGCAGATATTGTTGTTTACCAATGCACTGTGGCTTAGCGCTGTACCTATTATGGTCTAATCAACAGAAAAGTCCTCTCCCCAGGTGTTGCCGGACAGGTTCATTTTTCATAACTATGGGCACGATTTCCTGAATTCCTTTCCCATCCAGGGCTGCACTTGCCTTGCTGTAGTTTGTTATCTACAGGGGGAAATGAACACAGTTGTTAATGGATCAGTGCAGTGATGCTACTTACAGAGCCTTTAGTAGTAAACCAAAGCCTGCCAGAGCACTGCTGTTCTCTTTTCTTGTTGCCTTTTAACACTGATGCCAGCCTAGCACAGATGGTTTTCTTGTGGCTTAGATACACATAACAGTGAGCATTTAAAACAGCAACCCACTTCCCTCCTGCAGCTTAGCATCCCAAAAAATAAACCACTAGGGGGCCACACTGATCACTTGTGAATAAGAGGTGGGGAAGGGGTGTCCAATCAGTCTCTGCAAGCAGGGGTCTGTTTCAGGGACATGGGGCCCCAATGACAAGTATCTATCAGTGCCAGCTGCCTGAGATCCTGTAGGTGGCAAGGATTAGTCAGGTCTGATGCTGGCAGCTGCTGCCCACCTCCCTGTTTCCTACAGCTGCATCTCACATCCATGGGAAATAGCCAACTTGGGAGGGGGGAGGGGTAAGGAGGGGAGAGTTCCCTTCATTGTCCTTGGATAAATTATTAACATTATGCACTATTCTCAGGCTCACCAAGCTGGTGGTGAGCTACGGCCCCATTCTGCTGAATTTTCGAAGTGTCTGTCCTATTGACAGTCTTCGACTCGGAATTTACAATTCTGCTCCTGCTATGATCTGTATCCTTTCCTACGACCTTTGGTCCTCAAGGAATTGCCCTTTAAAGCATATTCTCCTACACCTACATAAATCAATTGTCATAAGCCCTCCTAATATAAAATCAGGTTAATCCTGAATTACACCTTCCCTCTCTTGTGTTAGCTGAGATTCCTGACATTTCCTGAAGGCAAGTCTCCCTTGAAGCATTGCTTTCTCAGCTCCTCTAAAAGCCCCTTGCAATGTCTCTTGCTATGGCATATAAGCATCTGGCTCCTAAAAAGGCTCTTAAATGGGAGTGTGGCTCTTGCCCACGCTGGAAAGTCTAATGCCTTTTTGGCATGACCATCTTTCCTGATTTGGGGGCACCTTTAAAAAAAAGCTAACTTGGAGGTCTTCCTGGCCCCGCAATCCTGGAGTTGTCCTTCAAGCTGGGATTTTTGCATAGGACTGAGGTTTGATGCAATTAAAAATAACTGTCTTCTCTGTGTTTAAACACTAGGAGAAGCAGGTGGGTGGCATCTGTGTGGGGCTACCTTGTGAGTTTGCAGCTGGTCTTCTATTGGATAGGATCAGCTTCCAAGGCACTGCTGAGTTGCACCTAGATCCTAGAGAAGACCCACGGAATGGGGAAGCTGCACTATAACATATGGTAATGGCAAACCAAGCGCTTTGTGATCTGATTTCATAGAAATGCTATTCAAAATAGATATTATCAAAAATAAAATAAAAAAATCCAGAGCATGTACATCAAACACTTCCTACAATGAATGGCAGCCTTTTGCTGATCAGATCCATAAAGAGGATGTCTCTGCTTGGCCTCCTCTTGAAGGAATTCTGACTCGTCTAAGACCACATGCTGTAAATCTGTCTGTCCACAGAGGCCAGAGAAGGATGTGGCCTTATGGTCATCAGAGCCCCTAGGGGGAATTAAAGGGTCTCATGGTAGACAATGCTGGGGCTGGTTTCCTCGCACAGCTCCAGCTGCACGCTGGAGGAGGGCCCCCGCCTGGCGTAGGTGAGTGTGGTTCGGTAAATGTTCTTGGCATGTTTGGGGAAGATGATGGTCGTGCTCTGGAACCGCAGGGGCCTCTGGCGGGGCTCAAAGAGCAGCTGCGACTTGTAGTTGCGCCAGGTGCAGTTTGGCGTGGCCACGACCGTCTCACTGTAAGCCGTTATGGTGGGGATGGGGCCATAGAAAATGTCATCCCTGTAATGCTTCTCTGAGTCATATTTCACCTCCGAGTTGCACCTGGAAAGGGCAGCGAGAAGTCAGGCAAAAAGGGAACTCTGCACTTACCCACTCCTATCTTCTGCCAGGCCTCCTGATAGCAACCCCAAACACCTCTATGGTCTCTGGCAAGCTCTGCAGCTGGTCTCTCTGAGCACTGCCATTGACCACAATGGCGGTCAGTTCCCCTGATGTTTAAAACATACTTTGTAAGGGAACAGTTCGTCATCACGCAGCACACAACCTTCCCCTGGCTTTGTGCCTGAAAGAGGCAGCCCTCCCTAGAAGGTAGTTCCCAGAGGCCGGCAGGTGAGCATGGAAATGGACATAAATGCTGGCTGAAAACTGCCTCTGTAGGTTGATACTCCTATATTTTGCAATAGGGACCCTCAGGTGGCCCTAAGGTGAGTGCCTTCCCAGTCTGTGCTGTGCACCAGTGTCAGCTCCTGCCCTCACGTGGCAAGAAAATAACATCACGATGTGAATGTTGAGGAAGCTAGAGGGGGCTTGACTAAGCTGTTTAACACCTTTTGCCCATCCCTCTAATGTGAGAGCAAAGGGTCACCTGCTTAGAGCAAGAGCAGCTGGGTTTACAAAGGGGCCTTGTGCACATCACCTACAGCACAAAACCATTTGCCCCAAACTATGCTGCAGCAGAGGAAAAAGGGGGTGAAGTCACTCGGCTCACCCTCAAAAAACGGTGCCAAATGGGCAGATGGAATACTGACCTAGTGATAACTCAAAGGTCTGGGAAGAGAGTGGAGACTACTTGATGGGGGTTTGGGTTCTACAGAAAAGCCAGGAATGGGTGAAGTCTATTGTTCCCGCTAATCTTTTCCATCCATGTGTGGAATAATTTTATGTGCACTGAGGCATGTGAAAATGTGCAGCACCAATGGGGAAAAAATCCTAGCTGTGGGCACTCTGCTAATCAGAAGGGGGAAAGGGTATATGAATCTCTCCTGAGAGGCCACACAAATGCACATCTTACAGGGAACACAGGTCCAATCCCAACTCAAACAGAGAGAAGTTGAGAGGTCTGGTTCTTGCGGACAACACCAAATGAGCACTGGGTAGCTCACCCACCATTAAGATGAGGAAAAAAAATAAACATGAAAATAATTAATAGTGGCTCTTCCATCCTTTTCAGAGGGGCCAATAGGATAGCCAGGCCCTTGGGTGAAGGGGAGGAGACAGTGGCTCCACACTACTGGAAGGGGCTGGGGCAGGGCCTCAAGTGGATGGGGGGGGGCTATGGCAGCCAGTTCCCAGCGCCGCCTGGACTATGTCCCCACCAACCCTTTGCCAGCAATCTGAGCAGCTTGGAACATGCGGGGCTCTGGAACATGCGGCACTCCCAGGGTGATTTAAATGGCCCTGGGTTCCCAGTGCCGCTGTTTCCAGGACCTTCTGGGCCTTTAAAATCACTTGTCCCAAGGGAAAATGCTCCCCTTCACATTCCCTGTTGGTGGGCCTGATCCTTGGTAGTTTCTCTGTCTATAGTCCACTGCGCACCAAGCCAGTAACCCTGCAAGGTAAAGATCCTTAAACTGAAAATTCTTTGGGACAGAGACTCTTTTTGTTGCACTGTGTCCACATAACACCTAGCAGCATGGGGTCCTGGTCCCAGATTGGGGCTCCTAGGTGCTACAGTTATACAAACTAAAAATTATAATAAAAAATACAGCTCTAGTAAAGCTCAGCTTGCAGGGAGCTGTGGAGCGTTCACATTTTACTGCTCCAAACCTTCCAACCACAGTCAGCAGGTAAGGAATTTGCAGCTCTGTTGAAAAAAGGATTAAAAGCTGGGTGTGTGCACACCGATTACCTCCACCCTGGAGGGAGGCTGGAGGATTATGTGGCACGCGTAACATGATCTGCCTTGATGTCTTTCGCACTGCAAAGTATATAAGCAAGCAAGTTGCTTGGTGCACATCAAACAAGAGGCTTGTGTAATCGTTATGAAAATGTGCCCACCATCTGTTCCTGGGTAACCAGAGATTGATTGGGGCACGTTCCCAGAATGCTCTTTGTGTGGGTTGGGAGGGGGAAAATTGTATTCATAACCTCTACTTCTCCCACCCCTCTCTCTCTAATTATTACCACAAGCCAGGTGAGTAACACACTGAAAATGTATCTTGGTGGTTTTAAAGTGAATTCTGTGCTAATAGTTTTGAAAATGTGCCCACCATCTGTTCCTGGGTAACCAGAGATTGATTGGGGCACGTTCCCAGAATGCTCTTTGTGTGGGTTGGGAGGGGGAAAATTGTATTCATAACCTCTACTTCTCCCACCCCTCTCTCTCTAATTATTACCACAAGCCAGGTGAGTAACACACTGAAAATGTATCTTGGTGGTTTTAAAGTGAATTCTGTGCTGGCAAGAAGAAACTCAGACTGTGAGCCCTGCTACTGTGTGCAGGCAGCAAAGCACCAGCCTCCCAGCACTGAGTATCAGCGCGCCTCTGTCATGGGCTAGAGGAACCACCCTTAGAGAGCAGAGGAGAAACAGCCCCCTGAAGATAGCTCTAACCTGGGCCTCCCTGCTGAGAGCACCAGTAAAAATGGACAGCAGCAACAACAGCTTCTTTTGATCTTCCTCCACCGGGAACTGTACTGAGACCACCAACTTTCTGCATTGGCCACCAAACAGCATTCCAGATGGGAATGGTTTTCTAACCCAGCTGGGGCTGTATTTGATACTGTCTGGGAAATGAAGACCTCCATCTCCCATTACCAACCCTGGAACCACCCTCGCTGCACCACCCCTGTCAGTTTCTTTTTAGTTCAGGAATTAATCCCCCATTGCCTCCTCTCCTCCGTCCCCAACAAAAGAACCGTGACCCCCATTGATAAACACTGTTAATCTTTTGCAGAAGCAAATGTATCAAGGGAAAGGGAGAAACCCCGTCCATGTGTACCTAATTTCCTGCACAGGTTCAGGGTTGACCTCAATGCTTTCACCAAAGAACACCGGGAACATTCGAGGCCTCATCTCTGACACAGAAGAGTTCAGAAGAAGGTAAGGGATCTACAGGAAAAACAGGGGTGGGGATAAAGAGAAAAGCACATCAAGCATTAGGACCCAGCAGAATGCAGCTGGTGTTATTTAAGACATACATTGTGTTCACTCATTGAGCATGTACTAGCACTATGGCTAAATTCAACTCTAATGGAAGTGGGTGCCTGTCCCCCGCATGCAGACTCCCTTGAATTCATGCTCTGCAGGAACTGCCCAAGAAGAGGTCCCCTGTGGCAGGTGCTTTTTGTGACATGCACACAGGCTGGAGAGACAAGCACCAGCTGATGTCAGACCATGGGTGGTAATGGTTTTCCATTACAAGTGGCCACACCCTGCTGCTAGCTTGACCGGGGTCAATTCCAGGTAATGCCATTCCCTTCCAGGGAGCAATGGCCATTTTACCTTAGAGTTAATAAGAGAATCACCAGGCCTGAATTTGCCCCCTGCCAAGGTACTTCAACTCCCATTAACAGTCCCTCTTCCTTCCTGGAGCAGAGGAAGGCACCCAAGGGTTAGCCAGGAGATCTGGTCTCCGCAATGCATGGGGAGGAGGGATACAAAGCTCAGAAGCTTATTTTTCAAAGGGTGGGGCCAGAACTACAGCTAGTGCAAGCCTGGGTAGCTCCTTTGATGTCAACATCCATTTAAATCAACCCAGAACTGACCAGCACTTGTCAATTTCCCCCTCCACCTATGCAGGAAGGTGCAAGAACAGGCAGTGCCTGGACTCTGATCGTCTTTTTAAGTGGTTTGGCCCAATGGCGCATCTCCTTGAATGCTATCTGTACTTATCTGGTTGCTTTCATTTTCCCACCCCGGTTGTGACATCAGAATTAGCTTTACGCAGCTGAGTCTTCACCAGCAGCCTGACTGTGCCAGGAGCCGTCCCATTGCAATGCCTCCTTCGGAATGCCCAGCCCTAAGATAAGCTGATCTCCCATTGCAATCTAGGGTTGCCTCTACCCACTGCAGATTCTTTCATATGGAATTTTGGTCTCTCTTTTACACTTGAATAATTCTTCTTTTTCCTTACTGTTCCTGCTGTTGTGAGCCAGACACAACATCATTGTCATGTGGGATCTCCTGCTCAAAATGGGCCTGATCAGCAGTGTTCCCTCTAAATGTTTCCATCTGTGTGCTGAATAAATTTTGTAATGTGCACAGAGGCATGTGCAGATGTGCACCACCAGTAGAAACACATGTTGCTGGCTGCGAGCACTCTGCTAATCAGTTAGGTGGCATTTGAATCTCTCCTGGGTAGCTGTCCAAGTGCTAGGTTTACAGGGAACACTGCATCAACGAAGTTCCACATCCTGATGTGGCTCTAACGTTTGGAAGGGCGAGGGAGAGGTGGCTCAGAGTTTCATGTATTCCTGCCTCTCCTGCTGCTGCTCAATGACAGAGATTGATGCTTGCCTGGATATGCACTGCTCAGCTTCTGTGGGGAAATGTCGCTGCCCAAGGACCATAAGGAAAATCCTTCCTGGAGTGCTGAGTTAAAGCGTCAAGTCTCAAAATATTTTTCAATGACTGCTGCACAGAAGAGTCTCAGGGGCTTGGCTTCCCCCAATGACTATCCTGTTCTGTGCAGTACATAGTGATGCACATACACCCACTTACTCCAGCAGGAAAGGAATTAAGCATCCTAGGCTGATTCCTCAGTCTCCTAAGACCACTTTGCACAGCATAGGTACCTCCTGCTACCCCACATCTGCTGGGGGAGCACTAGCTGGAGGAGCAGAGTTTGGTTGTCCCCAATGTCCCTTCAGAGTACGTCCCTGTGCGGCTGCTGCTCCAACTTTCACGGAGAGTATCAGGGAGCTGCAACTAGCTCCCACTCCTGTAACGGAGAATTCACCCTCATGTACCTCAATTGGAGTTATTTACCCTTGCAGCCCTCCCCAGTTGTTGCTCCGCTCTAGAACTACTGCAATCCCCAAATGTCCAGGGGGCCTGCAGGGAGGCAGAGCGCCCTACCACGGAGCTCAGCAATCAAGCCATTCATCTCCTCGCAGCTGTTTCTGCTTTTTCTGCACCAATGAAAACTTCCTGAAATGTTTGTTCCTCTAGCCTACGAGAGCAAATTTTGACATAGTGGAGATTAATTGGTGCCTTTCGTAGTATTTATCAGCTCTGTTCCTAGCAGCAGCCCTGGGAATCGAGGGCTTTAAAACAAAGTGCCATAGAGCACTGGAACAGACTCATAAGAGCATTAGAACGGCCATACTGGGTCTGACCAACGGTCCATCCAGCCCAGTATCCGGTCTGCTGACAGTGGCCAATACTAGATGCCCCAGAGGGAGGGAACACAACAGGTAATCCTCATGTGATCCCTCCCCTCTCACCCACATCCAGAGAAACAGAGGCTAGGGACACCATTCCTACCAATCCTGGCAAATAGCCTTTGATGGATCTCATCTCCATGAATCCATCTAGTTTTGTTTAACCCTGTTAAAGTCCCAGTCATTAATTTAATTTGGTGATCCCCTAGTTCTTATATTGTGGGAAAAAGTAAATAACTTTTCTTTATTCACTTTTTCCACACCAGTCATGATTTTAGAGACCTCTATCATATCCCCCCTTACTCTCTAAGCAACTTCTCCTGAAGCTGGAGAAAAAAGCAGCTTTGGAAGCTCTAGGTGGGGCAGAGATGTCAGAAAAACTTAGTTTGGCGGGGAGGGCACAATAAGTGCTAATTCACATTCAAAATCAATGGGATTTGATGCCTTTGAAAATCTGCCCCGACTCTTAAATGTTATAGGCGTTGGTAGAAATTGCATCCCACTCTACAATACAGATAATATCCTGAACATCTAGAGCAGGGATGGGGAACCTTTTTCGGGTCGGGGGCCACTGACCCACAGAAAAATCAGTCAGGGCACAAAAGTGAGAAACAAGAAAAACCCCACCCCTCACCAGCACAGGTTCCCCATAGCTGGGGGGAATCCCAAGCTTCAGGGGCCAGATCCAGACAAGCCAGGGGCTGCATCCAGCCCCTGAGCATAGGTTCTCCACCCCAATCTAGATCATCTCCCTGCTGACCATTTGAAACTCACTTTGCAAACATTTAAGCCTCAATGTCTTCTTAGTTGAGCAAACACCAATGATTCCCTTTTATCCAAAGCACCAACATGCAGGGGTCAGATAAATAGCTCTCTGTTTGGCCCATCGCTAAAGCAAACCAAATAAAAAGGATTCACACAGCTTGGAGAACAGCAAAGGATTCCACACCTCTAGTTAGTCATTTGTCTTCTATCAAGAAATAAATTCTCTCTCTCTATATTCCTCCCCTAAGTACAGGGTAAACTTGTATATGCCCTGCATTTTAGATTTTGACCCAGTCATTTAATCAGAACCCTGAATATCTTTGTAGCTCTTCATACGTAAAGCCTAATGGAAAAATAATCTACTACTTGGTCTGATAGATGATCCACAGGGAGAAGTTTAGACGTTCTCATAAAGTTCTCTGACATAGAATTGAGATGCTGAGCTTCTTCTAGCAATATAATGTAGCGGTCTATTCTCACAAAGGCCAGTAGCTTCTCTAGCACACAATGAAAGCTGCTTAAGACTCATTCTCTTCAGATTTTTATGTAATAAAGATCTGGTGCCAGATTCTCTGCTGGCTTAAACTAAGGCTGTGTCTTCAATATGGGTTGGACCAACAGACAGCAATTGATCCAGCAGGGGTTGGTTTATCATGTCTAGTATAGACACAATAAATCGAGTGCTGAGTGCTCTCCCATTGAATCCTGTACTCCACCAAAATTAGAAGAGTAAGCGGAGTCGATGGGAGAGTGCCAGCTGTTGACTTACTGCAGTAAGCAGACCTAAGTACATCAACTTCAGTTAATTATTCACATAGCTGAAGTTGCATAACTTAGGTGTATGGCCCATGGCAGTATAGATAAGACCTGAGGTGGCTCCACTGAAGTTACTGGTGTAGAGTTTTTGCACTGAAGTTTACTGACCATTGGAGCAACCTACAGGGATGTGGTGGGTTCTCAATGACTTGAACTTTCTGGATATCTTTATAAGAAAGATCTTCTACTGCAACCACAAATTATTGGGCTTATTGTGAGAATTACTAGGAGAAATCTTATGGCCTGTGTTGTGCAGATTGGACTGGTTCTGGTCCCTTCTGGACTACAAATGTCTGACTCTATGGAACTGCTCCAAATTACCTCAGCAACAAATCCAACTTCTGAAGTTCTTGGCAGGAAGTGTAGGGGGCTTAGAAATAAGTCTTTTTCAGAAATGTTCCACAGAACAAGAAGAACACGCCCCCTGACCACCAGGAGAATGAATCATGAGCTTCTATTCAGCACAATGTCCTTAAACATAAGTTCCCAAATCAAGTAAGCCAGCACGTGCTGTCTGGAGGCAGTGCAGCTGCTTGGTTAGCTCTGTGGCACTCCGTCAGAAGACTACCACTTTGCATTTCAGTCCCTCTTTGCCGTTGGTTTTGCTTTATGAAATGCAGCATCTTCGTATCCTTCTCAGAAGATGTCTGGGCAGAATTTAAAGGTCTCCATGGCAGATGAAAGACCCTTGGAAACATCATTCTCTCCATCCTGCTCAATGCATGACAAAACCTGAGCCCAGTTCTCGGCAGCTGCCCATTAAATAACAGTGAAGCAGGTAAGAACGTGAAGGAGCCACTTGATGGGAGCTGAACAGATGGCCTACAGCTTCCCCCTCTCTGAACTGTCTTTCACCTTTGCATTCCTTCTAGCTGGGTGGATCTGCTGTGGTGCTGCTCTCTGCCAAAAAGGCAGAAAGAAGGACTGCCACTCTCCAGAGGCCCTGCTCTAACAAGTTCTTGAGCTGTGTCTGCAGAACCCAAGAGGTTCTGAGACGTACCAGACTTTGGGGAGAGGGGCAGTTAGCAATGTTCCCTGCAAGCTGAGCACTTGGGCAATCGCCCAGGAGAGATTCAAATATAGCCCAGCTGAGTAGCAGACAGCCTACTGAGCCCATAGCCAGCAGCAAGTGTTTTTATTGGTGGT